AAAAAAAAAAAAAAAAAAAAAAAAAAAAAAAAAAAAAAAAAAACTACACAGAAAGAAAAGGACCTGAACTTAGATGATATTGTAAATTAGATTTTAAGGGAAATTTTAAGAACTTTAAGACTTTAGAATAAGACTGTATATGCCCAATATTTATGGAATTTTTCCTGTAAAACTAAAGAAATTTGAGAACAGTAACACATAAGTAAAAATATCAGTATATTATTCTGCCTTGATAAAGAGTTAATTTAAATTTTAACTTTGATGTAGTTTTAAATCTAATTTACATAATATCTTTTCATATCTGAAAATCTTGTAAATATATTCTACATCTTGGATGCAATCTGGTTATAATTTTTGAATCTATCTAAATTATCTAGAAGTCCTAAGGGCTGGCCAAATAGCTCAGAGGATTAAAGTGCCTTCAAGCAGGGGCCAGGGGTTTGATCCCTGGGCCTGCCATGCAGGCCCAGCCCCTGGGGCACACTGAGATGGCAACTGAGACTAGTTGTGGTGGTACAAACCTGTAATCCCAGCTCTTGGGAGGCTTTAAACAGGCAAATCACTAAGAGTCCAATTTAGTAGTGAAGCCCTCAATACCCTATAGACCCTTTCCTAAAAATACAGGAAAAAAAATCAATTAAATTATCTAGAAGTCCTAATTGAACATATTTCTCCCATAATCAAACTAGTTTTAAAAAGCAAAATGTACTTACGATATAGAGAACATATCACGGGAAGCACATAGATAATTGTTAAAGTTTTCCGCTGTTACTGTATGTGTGAGTTATCACATTCTAAATCTGTTGAGAAAGAGAGAAACACCTACATGAGTTTCACATGCTCAGTGACTAGTTGTGCATCTAAACAACAGAAACAAATGAACTCTGACAGGCCCAGATCTTCTCCAAGTATTTCTCCCCTGAGTTATATCAATTTGTGAATTATTTTGCTTTTTTAAGAATGGAACTGCTTCAGAAAGTGGCAAAAACAATAGGAAACCGTTAGAAGAGAGAGACAGCACTGTGTGGGATACCAATAGCAATGTGTATTTTATTGTAACAAAAATTTTAAACATTCACAGTACATTTTCATCAATCCTTACACAAGAAGAGAAATTAGAAAGAAGGAATGTTGTCGCTGAAGCTCTAGGGAAAGGAGAACATCTTGAAATCCATGTAAGGTGCCTCATCTCTGTTTTCTAATTTCACTCACTTACAGAATAAATTGTATTTGTACCACTACAAATAAAATAAAATACTGCTAGATATCTAATATTTATAATTCTGAGAATGCTTAGCAAAATAAAGATAAGACAATTAGATGGTTTGTCTGAATGTCTTTTATTTTCATTTAGTAGTTGTCAACCAAAATACATGACTGATACAAATGAAGTCAAAAACATTCAACTTTTCTTCAAGTACTTATTCTATAATAAAAATTAGACTTAACAAAAACATGTGAATCTGACCCACTCATATTCATCCTCCCAGACTAGAATAAATGTTTTTAAATTGTGGAGTAGTTTCAATTCCTGGGCCTGCTGTGCTGGCCCCAACCCCGGGGTGCCCTGAGAGGGCAATTGAGACTGGGCATGGTGGCGAGGGCCTGTAATCCCAGGACTTGGGAGGCTGTGAACAGGTGAATCACTATGACTCTGATCGATCTAGTAGTGAGACTCTGAACACCTTGTAGACCCTTTTCTAAAATACAATAAATAAATAAATAAGTTTAAAAAAATAAATTATGGAGTAGTTTAAAGTAAAATAAAGGGGAGATCAATTTATAATTTTAATATCCCCCCAAACTAGGCTATATAAATCTATTCTCTCTCAGTAGTGCATTTTGCTGTAGAAAGACTCAATTGGCTTCTTATATTTTCCGGTTACCAGATGTATTTATTAGTTAACCCATACTCATTAGTTACCAGATGTATTTATTAGGTAACCCATACTCATTGCACACATACATATACACATACATTGTTGGTCCCAATTTTTTAACTCTCAAACAGTTGAATTTCTTTTCTTGCTAAAGTTAGTTAATTTTAAAAGAAAATCCAGTCTCATTTCCTTTAGGAATTACACATAGTCTTGGCATATGGTTCACAGGAAAAGAAATTTAACTTTACCTAATTCAGTATGTTCCCTTCATAAGCACTTGGTTTTTGAATTCTTGACATTAAAATAAATCTTACTCACATGGCATTTGTCAAATATACATGAGAATATACATTTATAACTTTGCTGATATTTTGTGAAATCCAATTAACATTGTAACAGGTGTGCAATTGTCACTCAATCATCAAAGGAACATTGTAAGGTAGATTTTATTTTCTTCTTTTTTCAGGCTTCTGATAATTCAAACAATCCACCCATAAGTAATTAGAAAGCATTGTGACCATGGATCAAACACAGACCTAACTTCCAAATGTCTAATGCTTCTGATTATAATCTTCATTTGTACAGGAATGTTTGGGAAATGTTTATAAGACAGTTGTGCCTAGACATCCATTTTCAATAGTAGCAGAGACACCACACAGAAAATAATGAATGTTGTTTTAAACGTAGGAACCCAGAAAGATTAGGGACCCATCTCCCCCACCAGTTTAAAGACCCAATCAAAACCTTCTCACCTGAAATAGATACTTCTTGGGTGAAGTATGCATGGCCAATAAATACATGAAAAAAAGTTCAATATCATCGGTTGTTTAAGGAATACAAATGAAAACAAAACTGAGATTCCACCTTAATTCAGAAATAATGGCTATTATCAAAAAAATCAGATAACAAATGTTGGAGAGCCTGTAGGGGCCAAGGGAGAAAAGGAACCCTCTTTTGTGTCGTTTGGGAGTGTAAACTAGTACCAGCACTATGGAAATCAGAATGGAGATATTACATAAAAATAAAAATAAAAATTCCATTTGGCCCAACTCTTTCCCTTCTAGATATCTTTCCAAAAAAGTTAAAAAAAACATTGTATCACAGTGATGTATGCAAACATATGTTGGTAGCAGCACAATTCATAAAAGCTATAGCTTAGAAATATTTAGTAGGTAGTCTGGTTTCTTTCTCAGAACCATGTTTATCTTGTGATAATGACTGTAGAAATACAAACATTTTTATATAAAATATATTATGTATTGTTTATGATTCTTTGCATAAGAGATTAAAACACTAATAATAAAACAGAGAAAGTATATTTAAACCTATATCCAGTGGTTCCATATAGGCAAGGGTTTTGAATATCTGTGAATTTAAAAATGTTTTACTGTCTCATCACCAATGCCATTCTCACTTTTATTGTACATGTTTTCACTGTCTAAGGTCAGATGTGATGTTTTCATCACATCTTAGCTAGGAAATCAGCAAAACCAAACACTAGGAATTCTTTCCAGCATGAGAGCGAATCACGGCATACAGAAAGTGGTGTAAATTTTGCTTCCTCTTTGGCAATTCATATTTGGGTATGTGCCTGTGTTTGTGTTTCAAATGATAGCTGTGACTTAATGGCTCAGCATGCTGAATAAATCACACTCAACTATCAGACTTACTCTCATATAGTGATTATTTTTGTTGATAATGTTTTATTGAATATAGCTGGTACTATTTCTATTTTTCCTTTATATTACATGCAGAGAGAAAATCATTTTCTCCCATTCCCTATATTTCTGTCTAAATCATTCATGATGAATTTCTTTCTCTTTTGTTTTTTGTCTTCTCTCCTATAGTAGTCAAAGTATTTGCTGCCACGAGGCAGAAGCAGAACAAAACATTCATTTTCTTCCAATTCAGTGTATATCAACCTTGAGAAAGCAAGGGTTTTTACAGCCCTTCAGTTCCTTTCTTCTATGTTGAGATCAGTTCTGGTGGATTAGTCAGTTACTTGGATGATTTGGCAAGATGCAGAGGCTTAGTAACTTACAGATGAAACATTAAGATGATTCACTAACTGTTTTTACTTTACATCTTGATGTTTGTCAGCAATCACAAATGTCTCTGTTTACATGGAACTTTGCATAAATAAATTTGCATAAAGAAAGGGTTGAAGAGGTCAGAATAACAAAAGAAAAGGGTTCCCACAGACTTTGTTTTCTCCCACATTCTTGAGGCCAAAACACTAGAAGCTGCTCTAGACAGTCCCCTTAAGGATGCTCAAGTAGTTGCTGTCCACCATGGGAGGAGAACCCACTGTGTTGTGAAATCCCATGCTAATAAGTGGTGACTCTGTTGTGGTCCAAGAGCATCCCCTGCCCAGAGAGACCCAGTTTATACTCTTCCTTGGCTATCATGATTGAGTTAAAGGGATAAAAGAGACCTAGACAGGAGGGCGTGTCCTTCCTCCCCGGGAGGCAGTGGAGCCTGCAGGACAGTCGCCGCGCCCCGGCCCGGCCCACCTTTGGGGGAGGCGGGGGGGGGGGAGCACCCAACCCCACCATCCCGGGCATTTGGGCAGCTGGGGGGAGAAGCACGGAGGCCAAAGACTACCGAGAGGATGGGATGGATCTAGGCAGTGACTTCGGATCTAGGCAGCAGCCGCACCAGTTCACAGTCCAACTCCACGAAAGTGACCCCCTGCTTCGAATGCAAATCCTCATCATCGCCAGGGGAGCAGCTTGGACATGGTGTCTGCCCTGGAGGACTATAAGGAGCCTTTTCTGGACTACCAGAAGAAGGTGATTGATTAATGGGTGCCGGAGAAAGAGGAAGAGGAGGACAAACGAGGGTACCGGGATGACCGGTGTCCGGCTCCAGGGCCTGGGGACATGAGTGCCAGGACCGGCGGCAGAGGCCAGGGCAGGAGCACCACCGCGACCGTGCCGCCCCTGATGCCCAATGGCAACCTCCACCCGCACGACCCCAAGGACCTCAGGCACAATGGCAATTCGGTGCTGCCTGGCCGGCTGAGCTGTACCCAGGTCCCCTGCCGGACAACTCAGAATCCCCAGCCAGCGGTGAGTCGGTATGGTGGTCAGGGCCCAGCGGCTGGGGGCCTCTGCTCCAACCTCCGGACGGCGGGACTTGCTTCCCAGAAGAGCCCCCTGCACCTCCTATGGATTGGGAGGCATTGGAGAAGCATCTGGCCGGGCTGCAGTTCTGGGAGCAGGACGTGCAAAACCAGGGCCAGGCGAGGACCAACTCCACCTCCGCACAGAAAAATGAGAAAGAGTCTATCAGACAGAAGTTGGCGCTTGGAAGCTTCTTTGATGATAACCCAGGAATTTATACCAGCTGTAGCAAAAGCAGGAAGCCAAGTCTTTTCCTTTAGATTGCAGAGTGGGATGAATCTGCAGATATGCTTTGTCAATGACAGAGGCAGTGACAAGGACAGCGATGCTGATGACAGTAAGACCGAAACCAGCTTGGACACTCTCTTGTCTCCCATGAGCAAACAGAATTCTTCCTATTCTCATAGAGACACCACTGAAGAAGATTTGGAATCCTTGGACGACATGGACTTCCTCACAAGGCAAAAGAAATTGCAAGCCTAAGCCAAGATGGCCCTTGCCATGGCCAAATCAATGGCCAAGATGCAAGTAAAAGTAGAAAAACAGAACAGGAAGAAGTCCCCCTTGCTGATCTTCTGCCACACATGCCTCATGTAAGTGAACGTTTGATGAAAAGAAGTCTAAAACTCGCCGACCTGCGAGACATGAGCATTAGGCAGCTACAGGTGAAAGTCAACGATCTGCATTCACAGATTGAAAGCTTGAAGGAGGAGTTGGTCCAGCTGCTTCTCATCCGGGCTGAGCTGCACACCGAGCAGGACGCCATGCGGTAGACATTGAAGACTTGACCAGACA